AATCTTTTGAGGACTTTGTGAAAGCACATGATGCATGCCAAGAGGACCTTATGTTTTTTCCTATCAACAATAGCTATGGTTTAGCTAGTGTTGCTGGAAATGCTGATAAGATTTCTGCTTTGCAAAATGAGTTCGAAACTGTGAAGAAGCGAATGGATGATGAAGCTAAGAAGGCTTCTCGGCTTGAGCAGAAGATTAAGCTTCTGACACAAGGATATCAGGTAAACTTGGCATGTACATCATCTGCAATCAAGATCATCTATATTCAAGTAATATGTCATATAGCATGGCTTCTTTTGAGTTCTCTTTATTTGCTTTACTGGAAAATTTTAAGTGTGCTTTGCATGCCCTACCGGCCCAGACTCTGGAGCATATTTTAAGCAAGTGGTGCCACAAAATATTCAAATGATAACGAGTCTCAGACCATCAATATCTACAGCTTATAGAGCTCAATACGACAGTACACAATAAACTGAAATTTGCCATTTCTAGCAACTGTGTTGGATCCCTAATATTCGCTATTGCTTCCATAGACCCTAGGACATCACTTAAAACAATGAAATGATTGGATGCGGGCACAAACCTGGAAAACTGTAGTGCTTTGTAGCCCACTGGATTGGCGCTGGAGATAAGTGATACATGGCAGCTGTTGTGGGGGAGGACATGTGATAGACCGGTATTCTAGTAGTACATAAATACACAAAACTTCTACAGAGATAGGCTCCAATAGACAACAGTAGGTTTGTGCCACCATGATGCCTTCCAAACACTGCGGAAAGTATCTTTTGCCTTAGACGTACTATAGCTAGAACATCACAAATGATGTGTGCAAGTTAGAATCAAGAGAGGTTAAATTTTAACCCCTGTTAACATCATTAGCATTTATCTCTTTAAAAAACCACTCAATCAGTCAAATTCACTATTATTGGACATTAGCCATTTACCAAGGCAACGTCAGGTGGCATTGCTGAAAGCACACTTTGTCCTTATACTGAAACAAAGAACAATGTTTGCCTTCAAATACTGAACTAAGAACTTAATGCTTAGAAGCCTTAGATTTCTAGGATCAACAGATATAACTGCAGGTACATAGTCGTCGAACCCAACATAACATTTGGTGACTGTTTCTTATGAGTACGAGTAGTGCATAATTCATAACACATATCAGCAGGCTGCAGTAAATGAATAATCAAAAATTTTATGGTCAATGTATTTTTTTAGCTAGGTAGAGAAGGTGAGATGCAACCAGTTAATGCTTCCACCACCAGTAAACACGAATCATTTAAAATACATATACCAGAATCAACCATCACAATGGATTTCTTTGGCATTTCCTCACATCAGCTTCCCCATACATGCTTCGGTGGATGTTTTCCACCTTCAACGACCTCTTGAGCACAAGAATCTTCATATGGCTTTCCTTGAGCCCCTTCTCAGGCGACAAACGGACCTCTGCCACGCTCCTGTCTGAATCGGCCTAGTCAACTCCTGATGTGGAGAAAGGGAAGGGAAATTGGGAAGGAGTGTGAGAGAGATGGACAAGGTAAAAGGAAGCAAGATCAGCATGTTCACCAAATCTTGCTTCTACCGCTGCGTTCGAGAAACCCAGCCCCGCTCGCCACCACCTGCAGATGGAGGCCAGATGCCCAGATCCAACGGCAGACACCAGATTTGCCAGTGGCAGTCTCTCGGCGAACCAAGATCTCGGCAGCATGACGAACAGCGCTGCTCCACTTCAAGTTGCTCGTGCTGCCGGTCATCGCCGCTTGCATAGTTGCGGTGTTCAAAGGGCTTACCGCTTACGTCTTCAGCAAGCGGTGACATAGCTGCAGCGTACTGCACAGGTGACGGTATCAGGGCTGCAGCGGCGTGGCTGTGTGAGCGGATGGCTGAGCCTCCCCTGAGCTTCGCGCGACCTGTGAACCGCATATCTGGAATGACGCCCGCGAGGCAGCACCGGGAGACACGTGCAGCGAGGGGCGGCGGCGGGGAGAACCGGAGAAGAAAAGGATTGCTGGATTGGAGAGATGAACAGCGAATGTGGGGAGCGAGGGTTGCCTAGGGGTCCTCCACAAAATGGCCAGCAGGGTTTTATGCAAAATGGAGATCATGAATTTTCTCTTCATGTAGAAATAAAATTTAATTCAAGGGGTTAACTGAAAATATATGAACACGTACACTGTACGGGCTGGTTGGATAGGACCGCGGGTTGAATTAAGAAAATATGGAGGGCTTTTGTGCAAAACAGCTGAAGCCATGCGTCTGTACGCGAAGTCATGAGCGCTCCCGTGAAACACTCTCGTGGAGGCAAACCAGAGTAGGTTTTAAAGAACCTGATGTATTCTTCTCTTTCATCTGCCCCATTTTTTGAATTGTAATCAAATACTGGACCCTGTTGAAGCCAGCCTGAATAATTGAATATGATAGATACTGGACTGCTACAAACTAGTATTATTAGGTCTTGCTTTTTGACTGACTAAATTTGCTCCCTTATTCATTGAAACAAAATTGTTGACCATACAGATTACATCTTGTCTCACTGCATATCCTATTCGAGTGCTGATGTTTTGCTAACATGCTGTTTGCTTTTTATTAGGTACGGGCTGGAAAACTGTGGTCACAGGTCCAAGATACATTCAAGCAAATGGACACTGCTGCAACAGAACTCGAATGCTTCCAAGAGCTGCAGAAACAGGAACATCTTGCTGCTTCATATCGAATCCTAAATCTGACTGAAGAAGTAAATAAACAGAAAACACTAGAAAGGACCCTCCAGAGCCGCTATGGTGAGCTGGTTTCTGGTTTTCAGAGGATTCAAGAACAGCTCGAGGAGCACAAGAAGCAACTCAAGGTACAGGAGGCAATAGAAGCCGAAAATTGTGCTCAGGAAGAGGAAGTTGTGGCACCGAATCATGCTGCTGAGGAAGAGGATGAAAGGAAGCCTCTCAGCTCTGAAGAGAAATCACAGCAGACAAATAGAGCTACTGATGAAGAGGCTGCAGGAAGCAAAGGAACCACCGAGGATCAGATGGATGTGGACAGCGGGAACGTAGACGGTGGATTCGTAGGGCCTATCCCACCAGCACCAGACACTGAAGGGAATAATGATGAGGTATCAGTTCAAGAGAACACTTCTAACACCCAGAGTAGTGAGTGTGCCTCCAGGAATGATGGGGCTGACAAGATCGATCAAGCCAAGTTAGGTCAGGATAAATCAGATGACATTATGGCTGCTGATGCTGGCCCTCAGGAAGTGGGCAAGGATGAACTTGCACCTGTTGGCACCAGCATAAGTGAAGAAAACACCACTGTATCTTTGGATCAAGCTGTCTCAAAGGAGGATGAAGGCAGGGCTCCTGAATGAAATATTGTTTGATGACTAATTGACTACCTCCAGCAGCAGCAGCAGTCTACTTGAGGGGTAACAGAGTGTCAAATTCATATAGTATGCCTCTCAAAAAGGGGACACCAAATTTGTTTTCTTTAGCCGCTTGGCGCGTCCCCTTATTCTCCAACGTGTTTTCAGTCCTAGCTCAAGCTGTGTTTCCTTTGGAGATTCGAATTTTATCTTGATGTTGATTTTCAATTCTGGCTGTTACAAACCTGCTATGTTAAATTTTCTGTCAACAATTTCACCTGGACGAGAGAAGAAAAACATGCAAATATCTAAAGCAACATTGTACGTGTCATGAGGCATCCTTACAATATCTGTTTTCAACTGATAACTTGATGTGATGCTCAAGAGCACACTGCCTAGTGTACACAACTTGTGTACGAAAAAGTGCAAGAGCCTGGTCCATGGCCAAGCATGAGGTTCAGGGCATACTAGCGTCCGGATAACCTGAGGTTTATCCACTTGGTCGCGTCGCGTCCAAATGCCTGCCCATCCTTTGGACCCAACCTGCATCCCAAGCACAACAAATATCTCCTCTCCTTCGTGAGTAGGCAGGCAGGCACCCGGCCAAGAAATATCCTATACAAGAGATATTTTTAGCTGCTGAAAAAGGTGCAGGCATGTGTCGCTGACAGCAGGGCCAAAAGCGCACCGGTTGGATCCAAGTCATGTCTTCTCAGAGTATCAGCAGGGCACATTTGGGCAACACTGGACCACAGGAATGGTCAGTTTGAAGGAGTGGGCCACATCGTTGTGCAACCGTTAACCTCAAAATAGATTGCTCTGAGTGGGTAAACTGGCAGATATTCAGTGTCTTAGGTCTTTATTACAATATATGTATGTATATATAAAAGGAGTGGCCTCCTTCACATGTTTAACTTTTGATGAGAGTGAAAAATATACCAGGGCACACTAGGCTTCGGTTAGAAATCCCCTGTTTTGCTTGAGACTGATTTTGTTCAGTTCAAATGCATGGTAGTCATTCATATCTTCATCTGAATATCTCAAAGAAGATGGACAAATATATCATGGAAAGGACTTGAGAACTATAAAAGGGATCCGATTATAAACACAACACACGCTGACATTTTTCTCAAGTATATTTCGCACATATTTTTCTTTCACCAAAAGCTCAACTGGAACATGGTTTTCTCCTATTATGTTAGGATAGTTAAATTGTAAATTTTAGCATCCGAAACATGCAAAAATAAACGAGGGAGCTAAAGTGAAAAAAAGGTCAGGGCAGGGCAATGCCCAAATAAAGAAAATGAGACTCGGTAAGAAGACCCTGAACAGTAGGCACTCTCCTCACCTCAGTCACTACTTTCCCGCTCTATCCATATATAAACCCCCTCCTTCCTCCTCTGCATGCCTCAACAACCCGTCTCCAAGAAACCACCTCCCCTCGCTCCAATCCCAATCCAAATCCTTCACCGCGAACCAACCTCCCCTCGCTCCAATCCCAATCCAAATCCTTCACCGCGAACCAATAGAACCCAATCTGATCAGTCGCTCACGCAAATTTCCCATCTGAGTTTTATCTCTCTCTTTTTTTCCCCGATAATAAAGATCCGATCGGAGTCCGGCAGCTTGGCCGGGATTGGAAATGAAGGTCGACAGGGAAATGGAGATTCTGCTCAACGAGATCCCCCTCCTCCACCACGGTGGCCTCCTCGGCGGCAGCGAGGCCGCCGGCGCGGACGACGACGCCGACCTCTCTTTCCTCATCCACGAACTCGCCGCGATGGGCGTCGTCGACGGCGATGACGAGCCGCCGTCGGCGCCGGGCGATGCCAACGGCGGCTTCGGCTTCGGCTTCTCCGGCATGATTTACCCCAAGAAAGGCGGCGAGAATCTGGTCGCCCTGCACCCGTTCTCCATGGCCAGCCACTGCGCGCACATGCCGTCTCTGTTTGATCTCGTCACCTTCGACGCCGCCGCCGCTGCCGCCGACGGCTGGGACATCCGGTGCTCCCCGCCGCCTTCTGTTTCTGTGCCGCCGCCACCCGCCACGCCGAGGCCCCGGTGCAAGATCGTGAGGAGGAAGAACGGCGGCTGCGGCGCGGTGACGACGACGAGCCCCAAGAAGTGCGGAGCAGCGGCGGCGGCCAACAAGTCGCACGGCGAGAGCCTGGCCGGCCTGCGCGGGGTCATGTCCCACATCGCGCGCGACCAGCACGGGTGCCGGCTGCTGCAGCAGGGGCTCGACCACGGCAAGCGCGAGGTCGACCATATCTTCGCCGGCGTGTCGCGCCACGCCGCGCAGCTGATGGTGGACCCGTTCGGGAACTACCTCATGCAGAAGCTGCTCGCCGTCTGCGACGCCGGGCAGAGGATGGCGCTCGTGCTCACCCTCACCGCTGACGCCTTCGTGCTCGTCAGGATATCCCTCAACGTCCATGGGTATAACTGTCAATTCACTTGTTGATTTTTTAATTGATAATGTGCATATTTTTGCTCTTGTTGATGTGTGGTTTTGGTTGAACCCCGTGATGGGTGTTTCATCAGGACACGGGCAGTGCAGAAGCTGATTGAGAGCCTCAGGACAAGGGAAGAGATTAGTCTTGTCATCGACGCTCTGCGCCCCGGGTTCTTGGAGCTCATCAAGGATCCCAATGGCAATCATGTCGTGCAAAAGTGTTTGCAGTCGTTTGAAGCCGATGATAACAAGGTATGTATGTGTGCGCATCTGAAGTTTAGAAATATTTTCTGTTCCAGTGCTTACATTTTCTGTAGATGAGTTCTTTGTTACAAAATTTAGACGAAACAATTTGATTCAGAGAAGCGATGATGGGTAAGAGTGAAGGTAGATAGAAGTATTCTGTAGCTGTATGCCATTGACATTCTCTTGATACTGATTGATGACAGATTTGTCTTGGACTGCTTTCACATGTCTGAATTTTGCGGCTTCACTTTTTGTTTAAGATCAGATATTAACTGACAAATTGCAATCTCCAGGCGATCTTTGATGCTGCTGCACTTCACTGTCTCGATATCGGGATGCAGTGCCACGGTTGCTGTGTCCTACAGCGGTGCATTGCACGGTCGCGTGGTGAGCACAGGGACAAGCTGGTTGCTGCCATTGCTTGCAATGGATTTAAACTTGCCCAAGATGCATATGGGTAATAGTCTATCCAAAAATCTTCAAGATCCATTAGATAGTCTGCATTTCCAAACATAAAGAAAACTCTGCATTTTCATACTTGGATCTCTTGAGCCAACTTGCAACATTTTTATGTACTTTTATCTGCTTTAAGCCTTGTGTGCTATGGTTGCAGGAACTATGTTGTCCAATATGTAATAGACTTGAAGATACCAAATGCAAATTCAAGTCTTGCACAACAGTTTGAAGGCAAGTATATCCACCTGTCCATGCAGAAGTTCAGTAGCAATGTGGTTGAGAAATGCCTGAAAGTCTTCAAGGAGGTTGACAAGGCCAAGATCATACTGGAAATCCTTGCCACGCCACACTTGGAGCAATTGCTTCAGCACCCCTATGCAAACTATGTCATTTACTCTGCTCTCCAGAATTCCAAGGTAAACCTGATGAAAAGGAGATCATCGTTAGTATTTTTATAGTAACTAATTTGTTGAAATTTATTACTGTGAGGAAATTTATTAGTGTGATGGGAATTTCAGGGTTCACTTCATTCTGCACTGACAAATGCAATCCGACCTCATGTGGAACTACTTAGGACCAGTCCATACTGCAAGAGGATATACTCTCGAGCTTTGCTGAAGAAATGATGAATTGATGACAGGTTTTCAGCTTGTAACAAGAACGATTGCTCTCTTGTGCTATTTTTTTTTCAGTTTCAAAAGGCATAAAGATGATCACAAAATAGATCTGTATAAATTAGTATTCTTTGGTCATGTACTTCTACCTGTACCTGTAAGTGATGCACGGCTTGTCCCTGGTGCTGCATAATCATCTGGAACGGAATAAGTTCAATCGAAAGTATTCTACAGACTATTTCATATATATGCAATGTTTTACGTTGTTGAAGCATGCAGAGATATTGCTGTTGTTACCTATTGATGCTGTTCACCATTAATTCCATTGCAACTGCGGATGGAAATGAGTAAATGACACCCAACAAGACAGAAATTGTGTTGCAACTTGGTGTCATCCCCATAGTTTTTAAGGCGGTAAGGCGAGGTGTGGCGCTCCACCCCCTTCCAGACGCCTAGGCGAATTAGGCGCGTGGCGAGGCAACGCCATACATATACTGCTGTTCACAATCAAGAGGCACATATAACAATAACACAGATCAATAAATTAACCTCTCTTATGCAGCAAAGTTCAGACATAAGAGAGACAAACAGTCAATCATATATTAATTATTCACATCAATTAGGCAACCACATCAGAAGAGCACACCTGTGAGCTATCCATTCCAACTATCAAACTATAACACATAAATAGGGGAAACGAGCATAGCAGAGAAAGCAAAGTAGAGCACAGGAAGGAGCAGAGCATGGGAACGAGGCGGAGGAAGAGTAGAGGAAGAGGGGGAGCAAGAGGAGAGCCGCAGAGCAGCAGAGGAAAGAGGAGGGGAGGACGTAACTGCCAATCGCGCGGTCACAGAGCAAAGTCACGGTTGGGGACAGGGCCAGAGTCGGTCGCAGGGCTGCTCGCGGATCGCAGACAGGGCTGGAGTCGCGGACGGGACGGAGTCGCGCTCACGTAGGCGGGTCCTGGACGGGCCAGACTCGCGCGGGGGCAGTCACGTGAGCCGGATTCCAGGTGCGCCGCCGCCCTCCTCTCTCTTCCTCTCTCCTTCCTTTCCCTCTCCCTCTCTCAACTGATGCGATGGGGATTGGGTTGGCGGGAGGTGTAGGCGCGCAACTGCTTCTTTTCCCACGCGCACGCATCGATTCGCTCTTTTCCCGCTCGCGCGGCGCTGCTCTTTCCCGCGTGCTTTTCCGTCCAGCGGCGTCCGCCTCAGCGAAATCGACGCCTAGGTGATGCCTTCAGCCGCGAGGCAACGCCATACGCGATGAGGGCGCGGCGACCGCGACGTCTCGGACGACTAGGAAAGGCGCCGCCTTAAAAACTATGGTCATCCCATTTTGTACAAGAACTAAAAGAACTACACGAGGACATGACAATAACTTCGTTGTCTGAAATAACAATGGAAGCACTTAACTTTTCTTAAGATTCATAACATCCAATTATTTATAGCAGTAAAGCCCCTACAAGAAATCACTCAGATGTTATCAATGCCTCATTTAAAATTGTTGCAAAGGAACTGTTGCTAGAACAATAGCAAACGGAGTAGGAACAGGAATGAAGCGAAGTGAATTTACTGAAGAACAGATTTAACAAATCACAAAAGGAGACTAGCACATAGGAAATAAAATATTCATTTTTTTAGGAAACAGGAAATAAAATATTCATATTAACCCAATAATGAAAAATAAGGGAGAAAGTACACGTCCAGCACTGCAGAGGGAAGTAATTTTTTTTTGTACTGCTCATCCTATATTGATTTGTACTAGTATGTCATTGAATTATAGTAAAATACTACGATTTGTTCCAGCGCGAGAGCTCGAGCAGAAACTAGCACAACCAAGTGGCTTCATAGACGGCATTAGCCACGGTGCGATACTCAGACTTCAACACTGGAGCAGGACACTGTCGCCTGGCACTTGGAGGACCAGGAGATGAGATTGTCGCCAAGGAACACTGCATAGACCGATGTGGGACTTGCGTGTATTCGGACAACCTGCCCAATCGGCATCGGAGTAGACCACCACCTTGGACAGAGAGGAGGCACGAAGAACCAGTGATGAGGACATCATTGGCTCAAATATGACCATGCCAACCACTTCTATACCAAAGGTGCAATCATTCTATATGAGGCTTATCATTGATGCATTTGACGAATTGGTGCTCCACCATAAAATGTGTATATTTTCATTTTCAGAATTACTTACATGGATCAAGGGAAGGTTTGATTGCATATGGAAAGCATGGAAGGTTAATGAAGTTGATTGGGGACCAAATCCAAGTATTCCCAACGTCCTCCACCTGGACACCACGTCACTTTTGGTCCAAAGAAAGAAAGAGATCAAATCCAACACGTTTTGGGGCTGGATTCGGACTCCAGGACAGCTCCAACTTGTGATGGTCACCACGGTCGCATACAGACTCGGATTGGGACGTTCAATTACTTTGTGGAATTCTTATGAAGTCTATTTTCACATGGATCTAGAATCAAGTCCATATCTATTCTGAGGCGGCCGCAATGGCCGAATTACTACCAGGAGGTTTTCTGTCCAAAGGTGCTGCGTCGCCTTAGTTTGGTCCAATGGGTCGTGTATCAAGTCGGGTCCATTAGAGACATGTCCTAGGGTAGGAACACGACCCCAACACCCTGGTGGACGTCCCTCCACCTTCATATACCCCTTAGCCGTCTCCAAGAACAGTTGGGTTTTGTTTGTTGAAAGTTTAGCCATTGCTACTTCCTTGTAGACGCGTGTGTCAACTAGACCATCCGTTCTACTTGATTCAGAATCCCAACTTTGTGAGTTCAGATTGGTTTTTCATCTCCATATTTGCAATTGAGTTGCTTGTTCTACTTGTTCTTGCTTGTTCCTCGATTGCTTGCAGGAATTACCCTAGTGGTTTGGTTGATCATGCTTCACAAGATCGCGACAGCCGTTGGAGGTGGTGTATCGGTTGCTAAGGCGCAGCATCCTTGGATGGTTGTAGTCGGGCCGTGAACGTCATCTCCATCCCCAAATCGAGTTATGCACCTTCTCTCATCGAAAGATCGGGATTCACCCTAGCGGGTTCATATCAACCATTCCCAAGTTGAGGGTGCCCCTGATGTACCGAAGTATGTGCTTTAGAGCAGCCAGATGAGGTTCCCATGAATCGTGCATGTGGAGGCAAGTCTGCTGAATAGCATAGGAGATGTCTGGCCGAGTGAAGGTCAGGTACTGTAAGGCACCGGTCAGGTTGCGGAAGTCACTGGGATCCTGAGTAGGAGTGCCGGCGTCAGCGGACACCTTCAGCTTAGCGTCCACCAGACTGTTACAAGGCTTGCAGACAGCAACAGTCCTCCCTCACTGTTCTCAGAAATGTTGAACCTGTCCATAGCATGTGCCTGATCAAGGAGAGAAGCTCGACATTACCTATGGTTTTTTATAATCATGACTCAAACAACTCTTTTTATTTGGGAGTTGGGAGTTGGGACACTAACAATTTTTGGATACAACTAAAATAATTCTTTACCAACTGATGATAAAAATACCTAACACAAGTCATATTGTTGAAGCATATATTTTCTTCTTGTGTTTCCTTTCAGTGAAAAAAAAACTGTGGCGTACAGAAGCTTGTGTAGCAACCATATCTAAGTAACACATGTGAATTATGTCACTGTGATGCTGCTGTTGCTGGTATGGCAAAACTCAGATGCAAGAAATATAAGTTAGAACCAATGAATTCCCTTAGTTATGGCAGCTATTTGATGCTAATGGTGCAGAACAACTTGCATCTAAAATCCCTTGACATGTACATGTAACTAACGTCTCTCAAGCCTGCATAGAAATGCACAGAACACAGAACATTCCACAACTAATCACTGACTGCTTCATCCCGGCTCTGATTGTTTCTATTGATACATAAATTATACTAGAAAGCAAGCACAACACACCTATCTTTATAAAGCATTATTTTTTAGGCCAAATGTGGTAAAATCCTAATACATTATTTGAACATCGTTATAATGCTTCCGGTACTTGGGGGTTGGTATTTTGCAGCTAATGGTACACCTGACATGTTATGCAATAAATCTTATTTCCAATTAATGTAAGACCATGAATCTTGATCCATAAGTTCTATTATCATCAGGACAAGATACAAACTTCTGCAGTAATGTTACCTTCTCAACGCTGTGTTGACTGTTGAGGTCGAGTACTGGTAGTTTCAGTCGGCAGTGACAATTCCTTTCCTTAACTAGGGTTCCTTTTCCTGAACAAATTCTGCTCAATCACTGTGCAATACCACATGTCCAGAAAATAAATCTGCATCTAGAGGAGGATAATCAGAGGCTTAGAATGCAATGAAATGGTAGGTTAATACCTGGAGATAGCACACAGCATGAAAGCTGCCCAGTTGGAAGCTGGATGTCAATTTGTTCTAGGGAGGTGAAAAGCTGATAGTAACCGGAGTGGAGGACAAAAGCTGACATTTAGCAAAAAGCAAAAGGGCAGTACTAAATATTGTCATGAAGTGAGTTCAGGGTGAAGCCACTGCTGAACAGTGAAAAAAGCGCCTGGTTAAGCAATCTGCAGCTGATAAAGCTTGACACCTTTCCATCCTTAATTTTCTATGGACATACCATATGTATCCAGAACAAAACAAAAGTATGTGCTCTCTAATATTCTTGATATAGAACATTGCATCTTTCTTTAGACCACCCCATAGGTTGCCCCCATCCATGAACCAATAACAAAGTGTGTAAACATTAGAATGTGTTTGTAAACAAATATTCAGTTATTTCCCTTTTCTAGATTTATGCCTAGATCTTGATTGAAACAACAAGAGTTATAAACTTATAATACTAGCTTCTATCTTCATCATATGATTGTACAATCATGCCAGTCAACAAAATGGCATAATGATCTACTAATTTTGTTGTCTGTCATCTCACAAGGGAAAAACTTTCCTGCATATAGAAGATCCAAGCACAAGGACCATCAACAGCAAACAGAATTATGAAGCATACAATCCCATAAACATATTTCTACTCTTGGAGGAAATGATGCTCTGTGCATATCTCCTGAGACAGCAGAAAACTTCTCATGGTGACCAAAAGTAACATTAACCTATTCCAAGCAAATGATGGGATCAGTGAAGAATCAAGCATCGAAACTTTGATTAGGGCTTACCCCAACAAGTTACCATTTAGAGAAGTTTATCATTTCCCTTTCCTCTCATTTTATCACAATGCGAATCAGTTGGTTTGAGGCACCTGTTGTACCGCTCGATGGCATCAGACACCAGAGCTACTTCTGTTGCAGTGGGGTTAGAGAATACATTTCTTGCCTTCAATGAACCACCCTTCTTTCTCACACCCTTGCACAGTGGCACTTCATGCTTGAGCACAGTACTTCAGATCTGATCGTGAGTTCCAACTTCCAAGTCCTCTAGAACTTAGCAGAACAACACATAAAATACCTTGCTGCACATCATAAAAAATTGTTCATGTGCAGCACAGTGACAATCAAGTCAGAATGGTTGCTTTATCCTCAAACCAAAATGACTGCAATACTGGATTTGTACCATCACAAATTCAGTACCCAATTATCTCATAGCACATGCTCAGATATTCATCTTCATATTCTGAAGCAGCCATATCCTCAAGTAAATGACCTAAAACCCATAGCATCTGTCTCCTCAAGTACCGTGGTATGCACCCCTGGTAGAAGGCATGGGCTCTTCCCTTCACATGAACCCAACTGCAACCAGGTGTCTTCACCATGCCAAGTTCTCTCATCCTTGACCTTATGCCTGCAACACTATCAGACCGACCAATTGCATCATATATGCCACAGAGAGTAACATAGTTGCTAGCATTGCTTTCTTCTAACTCAAATAACTTATAAGCCGCAACCTCTCCAACATCGACATTATTATGGATAGCGCAAGCAGAGAGCAACGCTCCCCACAGACTGGCACCAGGCTCCATAGGCATCTTCCTTATGATTCCAACAGCTTCTTCAATGGCTCCAGCACGCCCCAAGAGGTCAACCATACATGCATAGTGGTCAGCAGTGGGCTCTACATCGTGAACCTTGCTCATCGACTCAAAGATCCTCCGGCCATCATTCACAAGCCCTGAGTGGCTGCAACTTGACAGGATCGAGATGAACGTGATGCAGTTTGGCTTCACCCCTCTGGACACCATCTCATCATAAATCCTCAATGCTTCTTTTCCCATGCCATGGACACCATAGCTAGATATCAGCGTCGACCAGCTCACCACGTTCCTCACCTTCATGCTTGCAAACACTGCTTGCGCTCCGTCAACTTGACCACACTTAGCATACATGTCTACCAATGCATTCCCCACAGCGATATCTGAATCAAAAGCAAAGCACCGCACCATCCTACCATGGATCTCTCTCCCCTTTCATCAGCTGCCCTTCATTTGCACAGACATTCAACACATTTGGCACAGCCCGCAGATCCCTTGCCATATCCACGGATTCAATCTGTGCCTTCCTAAAAAGTTCCAGAGTTTCTTCTGAGCTCCCAGCCCTCGCATACCCAGTAACCATGCAGTTCCATACAACGGTGTCTCTCTCTGGCATCTCGTTAAACACTCTGGCCGCATCAGCCAGCATCCCGGTCTTAGCGTACATGTCCAGCAGCGCGCCGGAAACTACAACATTAGCTAGCAACCCGAGCCGGAGAGCGAAGCAATGGAACACAGTGCCAAGGAGCGTGTCCCGCAGCTCAGCGCACGCGCGGAGCACGGCGGGGATGGAGTACCTGTCGGGGCGCAACCCCGAGGCGAGGAGGCGGGAGATGAGCTCCACGGCCGCCCCTGGCGGGGAGGCCAAGAGGAGGACGTTGTAAGCGTGCATGGACGGAAAGGACATTCCGTCGAACACCTGGCGGGCGCTATGGAGCGCCCCGCAGCGGCTGTAGAGCAGGACGAAATCGGTGTCCAGGGTGGCGTCCGGAAGCAGCCCGCCGACCAGGCCCTGTGCGTGGACCTGCGCGCCCGGGGAAAGCGCTCCGCCCGCCGCGCACCGGCGGACAAGGGCCGAGAGACGGCCGGCGGTGGGCGGCGGCATTTCGATGACCGCCGTACAGGCGGTACTGGGCTGCTGCTGGCGTTTAATGAGTGGAGCGGCCTGCGGGCCGTGCCAATGATCGAGTGGGCCGAGCTGAAGAAAATCACTATCTGTTTAGTACAAGGTGCCTCATGTCAAAATTATTTGGTCTTGGGATTCAAAAAAAAAAAATTGTCTTGTCAAATCGGAAAGAAAGAACAAGCCCTTAATTTGACAAATCAAATTTATCTTTCAGAAATCATGCCGTGAATAGAACCACGATTCACGAACCACACAGATCGCTCAAATGCTTTGTCCTATTATATCAGACGGGTAAATCGAGATCATCACAGGGAAATATAGCAAGTACAGTTCAGCAGAACCAGCATCATAACACTGTTTTCTCCAACAAAACGAAAAGGTATCAAGATCCTGTGAAACAGACTTTAGACATCAATGCTTGCCGGTCCATTAACCCTCTTCCTTGACATCACTGCTTGCAGGTCCATTAACCCTTCCTCCTGGTCATTTTTAAACCCAAGCAAGCATTCCAGCTAAATGATCTGGAATAAAAACTTCTAATTATGCTGTCAGGTGAAAGTTATGTGAAAACCAGGTACAAAAGATCCAGAGCAAGCATAAATATAACATAAGGATCAACAAGAAGAAAAAAAATAAGGGAAGAAACAATTGCGACACACTCAAAACAACATACTATATTCTGTAGATCAGAAAAACATTTCATCATGCAACTATATATTACTCCATCCGTTCTAAATTATAAGTCATTTTTTGCTTTTCACCTAGATATATGTTATGTCTAGATACATAGTAAAAACTAAAAGAACACCCCACGCGTTGCTGCGGGAATCTTTGGTAAAATTATACTACTTATATTTACTAATATGATTGAATAAATATCATAATACATGTTAGTGGATGATTTTTAGCATTCTGACGTGAACAACTGAATATATGTTAGTAAATGATATGGTTTGCTAATATGAATAGCTTGAATGAAGACATAATGTCATAGTCGGATGTGTTAGTGGATGCTGATGTGGACACTTTGCATGGCGAGATAGTTAAATGTGCTAGTAAGATGTTCCAGTGGATACTGATGTGGACATTTTGCATGACAAGATAAATTACTAGCGAGGTTCATCGAGATATAGATAACTCGGTTAAAAAAGAACGGGTTTGTAATGGAACAGCTTTGAAGTCACATGCAGACTGAGGACATCGAGTGGCTTTCTTACCTTGACTCCCTCAGCAGCGGCACTTGGGCAGTGCAATGCACGGCCACAAGGAGAGCAGATCCAGTGATCTCGAGGGCGGTGACTTACCTGTAAGGCGGATGCACGATGCGGGATAAGGGAGGGCTAAAACAATGGAGATGTTGATTTGCAAGAAGATTTAATGGTAAAATCAAGCTTTTGCTACAGTAATTAGGCTTGAAATCAAGACATTACGGGGGCTGGAGCCCCCCAGACCCCCCTTTGGATCCGCCACTGCTGTAATATGGATGAGCAAAGGGGCAACCGCATGGTCACTAACTCACTGCCAATGTCAGACAATGTTGTCCCAATCGAGATGTAAAGCAGGTTTCTTTATAACTGACTGGAACTCTGGAAGCAGGAGAAACCAAACGACTCAGTGACGCGGGAGGCTTGAAGCTAATAACGCCATCAGTTTTGAATCTACCTGTGTGGTGCTTGCGGTTTCTAGTGGGGAGAGGGAACGTTGCCTGTTTTCAGTTGCTGGAAACGTTTGCTAGGATTGCAAGGCTCGTAGAACCGAGCAGAACTGGACGAAGGTCGCGGTCAGACGAAAGGACCTTGAGACTATTAGGCTGCCGCAGTTGTTGGCGGTGGCATTTTTGTAGCACTATAAGATCAGTTACCAATAGCCTTGAATCTAAAGACGAAGGCATATAAGTGGGATTATTGCAGAAACAACTAACGCCCAGGATGGAGCCTGCTACTTAAAATCAAACGGTTGAGACAATCGTGATGATGGCACAACGTGGAAGCAGATAGAAGCATTAGTGGGCCAGGAGGGAACCATGACATGGAGAGCTGTGGAATAAGAAAAATAGGCTAGTGGAGTTTTGCTTTATAAGAGTTTAAGATTGTGTATCTTGAAAAGCCAAGATAATTTATAATTTAGAATAGAGGAGTAAAACGTTAGTAACAAGTATTAAAAAGGACTGATATGCACATGCTTAGGCCCAGTATGGATGTTGCGGTTTCCTAAAACCAAAGTACAGGATAGCATGGTTTACTATACTAGTAGTTTTTTGCAGTTTTGTTAAAAATATCTGTTTGGATGTTATTGTAATAGTAATATTGCATTGGAAGATTGTTGGGGGGCATTATATTATAGTAATGTTTAATTTAAATCAGCCTTCAAATCCAAGAAGAGATTATCAATATATTTTGTTATTTTTTTGAACTTCAGTTCAGTAGCTTAAAATGAAATTCACAGGTGCAAGAATCTAATTTCTGTTGGAATCAAAATTTCAAAAATCAGAATAAAACAGGAAGTATGTCTATAAAATGAAGTGCACATGACTAAGGGGGCTTTTGCACTCGTGCATGCTTGGAGGCATATGCTGACTACTGGGGCCTGTATAAGGAACTACCGCTAGAGATGCTTTAAGAGACCCCACACACACACAACACACACACAAAGTACAAAAATACTTTCCAATCACGGCCCTACTCTAAAAACCAAATGTAGGAAAAATACTAATAAAATCGAACCAGCCAAGGCCAACAAAAATCGTAAAGTACAGGTAACCGAAATTTCTACTGACTTAGCTGCATTCTCATATGCTTTTTGACTAACATTTTTGTGCTCCCATCATCATTTTTGTTGGATGTTTTGTCATCCTCCACATAAGAATTTGAGGTAGCACAAAAATAACCACTAGCCTTTCGCTTCTGGTCCTTTCCACTGTGTTGTATCGTTTTACTCCTGTCTATCAGATTCACGATTGAATCTGTTTCATTGACAAGTTCCACAATAGAAACGTAAGAGTAAAGAACAATTTTTATTGAAGTCTATACCTTGTTACTTGGCCCGGTCTCAATCGTCTCCACAAGGCTGCCTTGTTTATCCGTCACTGGATTCATCCTAGTTCAATCCACATTATTAGTAAACAATTCCACATACGATATATAAAAGGTCTAAATATTGAGCTAACAGACCAACTTTCTGTCAAGTCTCTACCTTGGTATTTTTATCAAGCTCATCTCTTTTTTGCTCATTGTACTTTCCTACTAGACTCTTCTCAGAACAATTCTCGTCAGCAGATCCATTAAATATAGATTCTTTAGCAATGCTCCTACCATCTGTGTTGTCTTCTTTTACTTCTAGCATCCAAGAACCAACCTAGTCATCAGATACATAATGATTGAATGTGTGTTAGTAATAAGTTTCAGAAGAGAAAAAAAGTGCACAGTTTCTTTGAAATCCGTACCTTGGTACTTTGCTTGGTCTTATCCGTGTCCACAGGGCAAATTTCATTTTCTAGGCCCTTCATAGGGCAGTTCTTGTAGTTGAGAATACACATTAGTAAGGAGTTCCCACAAGTGAAATAAAGACTACATAAATATTGGGCTATCAGACCAAATACATTGCTATTTTGATTGATGTTGTCCCTTTCCTGCTTGTCGTCCGTTTGTACTAGGTTCTTCTGTTCAGCAGATCTATCAAATAGAGGTTCTTCACCATTTTTCCTTCCCACTGTGTCATCTTTTTTTACCCCTTCCATCTCAGAACCGATCTTGTAATCAGATTCATCTCGATTGAATTAGTGTACGTAACAAGTTCCACAAGAGACACATAAAAGAGTGAAGACAATTTCTTTGAAGTCTGTACCTTGGTACTTCTAGTGTCATTCATGTCCACAAGGCTGCCTTGTTCTGCTATACCCGTCATAGAGAAGTTGTCGGCATTTGATTCATCCTAGTTCAATGCACATTAGTAAACAGTTCCACATGCGAAATATAAAAGTTCTAGAAATTGAGCTAACAGGCCATGTTTCTGTCAAGTCTCCACCATGGTATTTTACTTATACCGTTTCTTACCTCCATCTTATCAGAAAACTTATTGCCATCAGATTCATTAGAAATACGTTCTCCAGCAATGCTGCCCCAGATAGTAGAACAACAATACATCAATATGATTTTCACCAAAGGAGACAGAATCTGTATAGAATACTGTCATGCATATAATGATAATAAGAAAATATCAGCAAAACAAGAGACATGCGTAGTTATGCAAATTGTAGATCATACCTGCAGAGTCCTTCACAGTAGAACATTCATCAGATATGTCAAACATAACTCCCAAGGTACGATCCTGGATCTTCATGCTCATTTCCACGGAGCCATTCTTGACCTCAAGATTCCATAAATACCGGCACAGGTCCTCTTTCATGATGCCCTATAAGTTATTTTGCAAGAAACATCAATATGTCCATAAGCATCAAAGAGTCGATACTAAAGATTAAGTCAAAGCTTATTTCAGTGGAGAAAAGGCATGTACCATCATAGCGCCCATCGCAAAAACATATTTCGGTTCAGGCCTTTTGTAGAACATAAAGCTTAAGGCACACTTACGGATTTCATTGTAGTCGTGGATATAGGAGATGGGTGAAGCATCCTCCAATATTAGCCAGCCACACATTGTTAGACATAATCTGCTCCTCCCCATTTCTCCTTGGTTGGAGACTGGTCGGCTCGGCCGACCACTCCCTATTGGGAGTTGGGGACTGATCGGCTCTACCGACCAGTTCCTGTAGCTATAGCAGTATTAAAATAGGTCACCTCTAGTACATTAGTTGGTAGCTATTATATTAGCCATGTCTTGGTAGTAGACTGAGGTAAGTTTTGTACTTCTAGGAGTAGTTGGTATACCCTGTACCTTAGGAGTATGTAGTTGGTGTACTCTTGTACTCAGGAGTAGGTAGTTAGCCAACAACTATGTACCTTAGGAGTAGCTAGTTGGTGTAC